GGAGAAAGAGAAGAAGTTGCGGTAGAGAAGGACGTGTCTACATGGCATTGGCAATTGTGACAATGATGGTCAAGACGTCCACAATGATCTGCCGGAAGCGGGAGTCCTTGTCCCACACATAGGCATCATCCTCACAGCCTTCGAAATGCCATCACTCCCACGAGATGGCGACAAGTGTCGGTGTCAAAACCGGCGGATCTCGGGTAGGGGGTCCCGAACTGTGCGTCTAAGGCTAATGGTAACAGGAGGCGGGGGACACAATGTTTACCCTACTTCCTACTTGATTGATCTTGACGATATGAGTATTACAAGAGTTGATCTACTACGAGATCGTAGAGGCTAAACCCTAGAAGCTAGCCTATGATTGTGATTGTTGTTGTCCTATGGACTAAACCCTCTGGTTTATATAGACATCGGAGGGGGCTAGGGTTACACAGAGTCGGTTACAGAGAAGGAGATCTACATATCCGAATTGCCAAGCTTGCCTTCCACGCAAAGGAGAGTCCCATCCAGACACGGGATGAAGTCTTCAATCTTGTATCTTCATAGTCCAACAGTCCGGCCAAAGTATATAGTCCGGCTGTCCGAGGACCCCTTAATCCAGGACTCCCTCAGTAGCCCCCGAACCAGGCCTCAATGACGATGAGTCCGGCGCGCAGATTGTCTTCGGCATTGCAAGGCGGGTTCTTCTCCGAATCCAGAGTACCTGTTGTAGCGAGTAGTGTCCGGCTTCCCATTAATGTTGTACTCCTCGGCTTCTGTGCTTCAATAATGGTTATCTCCATGTGTCGAGTGAATACGAGAAGTCGGGGCATTTTTACATTTGCCACCCTGACCATGTAAGCAAACCGTCTATTTGAAGAGATGGGGATCCTCAGATCCAAATCACACCATCTTCCCCCAGCAAGCATTCATCGGAGCGTGCCCGGAAGAAACCATACCATCATGGCCGGTCGTCGCAGCTCCTCCTCTCGCACCCGTAGCACTAAGCCAGGCGATTGGGAAAAGTGTTCTGTCCCCCATAGCCGATTAGTAGAGTTGCAGACCCAGGGGTTTCTTCCACCTGCATATATGGTCCCTGTCCGAGCCGGACTAGCCACCTACAATGGCGGGGAGCAAGCGGAGAGTTTTCCTAACTCGTCCATGGGGGAGCGAGTATGCCTTGTCCCCTATTTGCTGAGGGGACTTGGGTTTCCAATCCACCCATTCCTCCGTGGGCTCCTGGAGTTCTATGGCCTCCAGCTGCATAACTTCACCCCTGCCTCACTACTGCACATCGCAGGTTATGTCGCTCTTTGCGAGCTATTTCTGGGCTGCGAGGCTCATTTCGAGCTATGGAAGAGGCTATTCTGCCTCGTCCCTTGTAATTAGGAGGGATCAATATATCGAGTGGGCGGAGCCGAAATATGGCGCGTCGCTGAGACCGGATACTTGTCCGGCACTCCAAAGAAGACATCCGAAGACTGGCCTTTAGAGTGGTTTTATGTAGAGGACGTTCCTCTTCTGGACCCAATTCGGACGGGCCTTCCTAAGTTCAATAATGCCCCGCTGAAGAAACGCCACAGTTGGCGCCCCCGGAGTCCCCAGGAGGAAGATAACAGAGAAGTCCTTTACCTGATGAGCAGGATAAAAATGCTAGCCCAATCAGGACTGACAATAATCGAAGTTATGTCAATATGCATAATGCGGGGAGTGCAGCCACTTCAATATCGGGGGAAACACATGTGGCACTTCAATGGAGAAGACGATGCCACCCGCTGCGGTCGTAAAGGTTCGGACTCCGCCACCACTCTGGCGAAAATACTGTCCGATTTGTACAAAGGAGGAGAAGAGGAGTTCATCCGTATTAAGCCACGGGATGGATTTTCCATGTACAACCCCCAAGCTAGGTGAGCTGCTATCTTTTACTCGACTCCATTCATTCCCGCATTCCTTATCACAAATATTCACTTTGCTATTTCATAGCAGGAACTGAAAAAGGCCGTGAGAGAGGTTAATAGCCCGTCTCCTCAGCCAGAGGACCCTGACCGGGCCCTCGACCCCGGACTTGAAGAAGATCCGGACATATCTGTGGAGCTTGTCGACGGGACCTTTTACCAGGCAAGCTGTGATGGCACCTTGGTGGCCATCATCGCCGACTACCCCGGACTGCTCC